GAGTGGACCCCCGAGAAGGGCTGTCTCACTAAAAGGGGCACCCCCCACGGACCGCACGGGGCCAAGAGTGGGCACGATCTGTGAGTCCGTGACACCCTGCCCCTACCCTTCCCCGCTATTCCAACTCTAGTTCCCCAGCTGTGACCCACACTGGGTGCAGAACCCCGACTGCCTCAGGCAGGCTAGGACAGCCGGGGGCTGTTAGGGGACGGAAGGAAGCGGTTGTGCTAGAGCCCAACAGACGACAGCTTTGTCCAGCCTCCCCGCTGCTTCGAGCCGAACCGCCGTTTTCACATCCCTGTTCCACACACACAGTCGGCTACACACACACACAGTCGGCTACAAAAACAAACTTTATTAAAAATCTGAACCTGCATTAACAACAGCGAGAAAAATAAACTCTGGGCGGCAGGGCCGCTTGCGTCGGATAACACTGAGAGCGGGAAAGACGACGGGCACAGCACCAAAAAAATATTTAAAATTAAACTGGGAATTACCCGCCGCGGCTTATAGGCAGTGCCGAGAGCGACGATCGCATTGCACAGACGGATGCCCCCCCTGCCCGATTATTTTGCAGCTGCGGCTGGCACGCCAATGAACGACGAAAGCCAGCTGCTCCGACATTACTTCATGGGGAGCGAGCGGGATCGGGGCCCTGCGGGGAGCACTTTCCCCAGAGAAGCCACTCAAGGGCAGTTATTGCTCGGACAGTTGCATAGAGAACGAGGCGCATCGCCCCAAATTTGTGCTTAAGGCCTGTCACCCAGGCCGTGCCGGCCAGGCCCACACGCCTCCCGTGACGGAGGAAGAGGCTGGGACAGAGTTTGCTCTGAGTTCAGAGCTAGAAGTGGTGGAGGGGCTGGGCCATCCGCAACGTACTTCAACTACGGCAGGCGAGCAGCCAGCCTTGCCCACACCCGCCAGCGCCACAGGCTCCAAAGGGTTACCTGACCCCTGGGGCCCTTTGCCCGGCGCTCCTGTACGCAGCCAGTTCCACCCCGGCCTGGGCCCGGCCATTTTCGCTCTGGCTCACACCCAGACACTTTGCATAGTCACAACCCCGCACGGGGCCATTGTCACGAAATGAACCACATCAGCTGAGACAGGACAACTCTGCCGGGCGGCTTCACACCTCGGCTGCTTTCTGCACCGGCTCAGTGCTAAGGCACACGCAGCCTTTCGGGGTTCAGTGGGGATGTTGGGGGCCAGCTGGAGGCGACTTAAAGGGGCCTGATTTGCAAAAAAGAAGTCTGGGAGTCTGACTCCTTTGAGGGTGGCAGGTTGGACCCCCCCCCGCTCATCACTAGTTGCTTTGACCATTTAGCTCAGCCCTGGTTTAGCGGGTCTCTCCCCCAGGCCCTCGAGCACATCACTGCGAGAGACGACAGACTCGGGGCCGGGAGCTCGTTTCGCGACGTTTACCCAGAGACGCTTCTTGGAAATAAAGAGAGAACTCTGCGGCGGGGGAGGTTTCAAAGCCGCGATCCTGGGGAGACTTTCAGAAGCGCCCAATGGACTTAGGAGCACGAGCCCTGTTGGAATCAATGGTCGGGTAATGTGAGAATCCCCCCTTAGCCCCACAGCTCCCATTAACTGCAACGGGCTACGCAGCCTGGAAAGCGGCAGGCAGGATCTCCAGCGTTAGCAGGGGTAGCTCCCTGCCCCCTCGGGTCAGAACTATCTGTTCCATCCATCTGAGGGCTCGGCTGCAGCCCCTCACCTGCCGCCACGTTCGCCCCCCACATCTAGGCTCCACACAGCAGGATCTGGAGATAGTGGTGCTAACCCCCGTAGCCAGCCTCTCCCTCTGCTCCCTGCTCCTCAGGCCTGAGTTCCCAGTGCAGCCAAGCACCCCTGGGCCTCCTGCCCCCACGGAGCTCAGGAAACGCGGGCTAGCAGCCGGCAGGGCAGTGCTCCAGCACCCCGGCTCAGGGGACGGGACTCCTTCAGGGAGCAGCAAAGATGGAAGCAGCGCAGGCAGGTGGAGGGCTGGGGACACGCCAGGCCACCCAGCCGCTTGCTGACAGGTTAGAGGGGACGCGGAGCCGAACCGGAGGCTGTGGGGGACACGGACACCTCGCCGTGCACCGCATTAGCACGGGACTCCCTAGGCAGAGAAGCTGTAACGGCCGGGCCTAGAACAGGGGCTTAGGGAGCCCCGCGAATGATGCTGACGGGGTAGACGGGGCAGCCGCTCGGGCACTACGCAGTTAAAGGGTCTCTGGCTGTGGAGCACTGTGGACGTAAGTAAATGAACCACAAGCAAAGCAGGTGAGCAGGAAGCATTCAGACACAAATCCTGAAGCCCACGTCCACAGGGAGACGCTCAAGGGTGCTGGGCCTAAGAGGCCGCGCGGAGGCCTCTGGTCTCTTTGGTGTTAGGAAGCCGTTCCTGCCCCCCCCCCCCAACCCATTACTGATGGGGGGAGCTGGCAGCATTTCCTAGCAGGGGAACAGGAAGTCAGCTGCCCGGCACGCACCTGTCAGTGCAGCAGGTCCAAAGTTCTCCTCTTGTGCAAACAAACCCGGCTCCCAGTGGGAGGAGGAAGAGATCAAGTTGCTGTGCCCACGGGCAGCCCTCTTCCCACCCACCCCCACGCCTGCCTGCAAACCGGCTAACGCCCCGGCTCTCAGAGCAGCCAGACGCAGCCCGCCGACAGCCAGCAGGGGGCAGCAGTCCAGGAGCCGTGGGCGGGGGCCAGTGGGAAGTGGGCTCTGGAAAGTGGGGTTATTTTTCCTGCTGGGGGCAGGATGCCCAGAGAAAAGGGGCTGGGCTAGCTGGGCTCAGCTCAGCACCCGAGGGAGGGGACCCCTGCGCCCCAGGAAAGCCACCCTGCTACGGGCAGCGGGCCGAGCGCTCTTGCAGGCACTGGGCGTGGCAGCTGCTCTTCTGCCATCACCTGGGGGCTGCCCGCCTCCCGCGCAGCTGAGCCCCAGGGCAGCGGGAGAATGAAATTGTCTCTGGGGCTGGACAAGGCCCAGAGCGCTGCCAGCAGGAGGAGACGGGGCAATTCACCAGTACGACAGTACCCGTGCCCTACAGGCCTGTGCAGAACCCTCCTGCCCCACAGAGCCCCTGCCCGTGTTCAGGATGGCCGGGGGGAGGGGCTTTCCCAGTCCAACAGACAAGCAGCCCCTATTCCTCTCTGCCCCCACAGAGCTGGGGGAAGCTCCGCTGGCAGGTTGCAAAGCGACGTGTGGATTCCCCAGAAGGGAAGTGTGCCCAGAACACCTCTTCCCCGCCCCACACATCCTTCGGCTGCGGAAAGCCGGGAAGGGGACAAGTGCCGTGCAGCCGGGAGAGGGACCTGGTCTGGTGCCAGCCGAGGGCAAAGCGCTGCCAGGTCAGATGGGTGGAGTTCAATCCCCTGACTGCCCGTGTCACTGGCTCCAGCAGGAGGCGCTGCCAGCCTGGCTGGCTCTGGTGCACTTGCACGGACAGACTGGGCTTTACACACACACGTGCGCTCATGGGGGCGCTCGGAGAGCAGCGATTGTACCCCACGCCGGCAGGGCGCTGCTGTAGCTCCACCGCCAAATCCGTCCGCACAGCTCCCTCACTCGACGCCCAGGTGGTTCCGGGACACGGAGAAGTCTGCGCGACCCTCCCCTTCAAAGGAGTCGTCTTCGTCTTCCTCAAAGAGCTGGTCCTCCACAAACAAGCCCCCCAGGCTGTACTCCTGCTCGTGGACGGAGACCTCGTTCGGGGTGAGGTGGGAGGCGCCGCCAACAAAGTCGGCAAACCTGGAAATTAACGAGGATGGGGAGCAATTAACTTCCACTGTGGGAAGACGGGATACTGGGCTAGAGGGACCATTGGCCTGACCCAGTGTGCCCATTATGTCCCTTAAAGGTCCCAGACACCATTAAGTCTCAACCCCCACAGGGGAAATATTAACCCCATGGGGAAACTGAGGCACGGGGTGGGGGGGGGCAATCAGCCTGAGGCAGCCCTGGCAGGTACGGAGCTTAGCTGCAGGCTGCCCTGCTGGAAGAGTACAGATTGCCACAGCGAGAGCGCAGCCAGCCCTGCCCCACGGCCACGCCAGGCACTCCCCTGGACGTGTGCAGAGCCATGTCCCACCAGCAGGGGGCGCCGTAAGGGGGCTGCCGGCGCCCCCCGGGGCGTTTTACCTCTTCGGAGACTGGATGCGGGAAACCACAGTCCAGGCGGAGAACTCTGGGCTGCTACAGTAGCCGCGCAGCTCTTCCAGGGCCCTGCGTGTCTCCACCTCCCCCTGGAGCCGGTACTCCTCCTCGGTCAGCAGGCGAGGGGGGCTCGGCTTCGCTGTGGCTTTCTGCACCTTCCTGCCAGCAGAGCAGCGGCGTTAGCAGCAGTTCCCCGCCTCGAGGCGCCGCTCAGTCCTACGGAGAGCGGCTGGAGCCTCTACCGGGTCAGGTGTCCCCCCAGCCCTGAGTAGCTAGGAGCCGGATGCAGAAGTTACTGGCTGGAATCCGCTGGCCTGGGCTACAGGCGCCGAACGGATCTACACAGCTATCTGCCCACCTGTTTAACTCTGCCGAGCCCAGTTTGGGAGCTGGCTTCCCCACCGGCCCCAGAGGGGGAGAGCTGGTCACCGCTCCCACAAGAGGGGTGACCCCATCCTGCCCCAGAATACAGAGACACCCCCAGACAGCAGCGAGGACACAGGGGAAAATTCAGCTCTTAAAGACCAGCCTCCATCACCAAGCAGGTGTTGGCGCCACACAGTGGCCAGGTTGGGTATGACCCCATAAAGCAGGGGTTGGCAACCTTTCAGAAGTGGGGGGCCGAATCTTCATTTATTCACTCTAAGTTAAGGTTTCGCGTGCCAGTCATACATGTCAACGTTTTTAGAAGGTCTCTCTCTCTAAGTCTATAATATAGAACTAAACCATTGTTGTCTATAAAGTAAATAAGGTTTTTAAAATGTTTAAGCAGCTTCATTTAAAATTAAATTAAAATGCAGAGCCCCTCGGACCGGTGGCCAGGACCCGGGCAGTGTGAGTGCCACTGAAAATCAGCTCGCGTGCCGCCTTTGGCACGCATGCCATAGGTTGCCTACCCCTGCCATAAAGTCTTACCCTGCTCCTCACCCATGGGAGCAGAGCCAGGCCCACGCTGGGCCAGGGCCGGCTCCAGGCACCAGCGAAGGAAGCAGGTGCTTGGGGTGGCCAATACAAAGGGGCGGCACCGCCGTCCGGTATCGGGGCGGCACCTCCGGGTCTTCGGCAGGAATTCAGCGGCGGGTCCCTCAGTCCCTCTCTTCCTCTTTGAGCTGCCGCTGAAGTGCCGCCGAAGAGGAAGAGAGGGAGTGAAGGACCCGCTGCCGAATTGCTGCCGATTATGAAGCGGCGCAATTGGGTTGCTCCCAAAGTGCCCCCAATCGGCTTTTTTTTTTTTGCGCCGCTTGGGGCAGCGGCAAAGCTGGAGCCGGCCCTGCGCCGGGCACCTCAGAAAATCCTGCCCTTGGCCAGAGACCCCTCCGGTAAAGGCGAACGATGAACGTCCAAGCACGAGCGACTGGCCCCCGGGCTCAGGTTTCATGCAGCCGATCCCTCCCTCCCCACGGCTCTGGCGTGGGAACTCCCTTCTTAGCCAAACGCACCCGGGGCCCCGCATCTCCTACTGTCATTCAGCCACTCCACGGCGCGCATGCTTTGCGTGGCTGTGCTGTTAACAGAGCCAGTCGGCTCCTTGGCCTGGGCCAGACTCCTTCTGCGTGAGCGTTCGTCGCCGCCTCCCCGCCCCGCCGGCAGTGGCCGACCTAGATCCCGTGGCCAGTGCAGCCGGCGCGCCCGGAGCTGTGGAGTCACCTGTAGGTGGCGCAGAGCCACTGGACGGGGTACTCCAGGTTCTTGGTGCAGACGGCAATGGCGATCAGCGCCAGGGCGATGGGCCGGATTTGGATGCCCAAGTACATGAGCAGCAGGCCCAGGACCTGCAGGCTCCACGTCAGCAGGTTGATGTTGCGTTGGTTCTCCAGCGGGCCGTACCGGTAGCACACGGCGAAGCTGGCGAAGCCCACCAGCAGCATGTAGCCTGGGAGAGGGCGGAGAGATCAGGCAAGAGGGAATTCAACGGAGGCCGCTATGAACAGGACGGACGCCCGGCACCGCCGCCTCCTTTTGGGCCCAGGGTCCCTCACAGACTCATCAGCAAGTTCACGGCCAGGCCCCCCGTGAAATCAGCCAGGAATTCCACGCCTGCCCCGTAGAGCGAGGACTGCACAGGGCAGGCAGGGCGGGAAGCATCCTGATCGTTGGTGCAGCCCATGCGGCATGCACCACGTAACCGCTCCTTCCCGTGCCCCCGCCCCCTCCTCCCACCACCCTTTCCTGGAAGCGGCCGCCGGCAGCTGACCAACAGCCCCGTTTGTAGCTGCGTAGAAGGGAGACGGGCGTGGAAGTCCCTGCCTCTCCCACGCCACCGTCATACAACCAGGCGAACCTGCCTTTGCATTAGGCGCCGAGAGGCACTCACCCAGGAGATATTGCCAGTAGGACTTGCAGATCTCTTGTAAGTTTCTGAAGACCAGCTGGATGAGGTAGAGGGAGAAGGACCAGCCTCCCACTAGGATGAAGTAGATGGGACTTTTCTAGGGCAGATGGAAAGATGTGAGAACAAGACAGGTGCTTCCACGTGCCTGCTAGAGCCGAACTGCCGCTGTTTGACGTTCACCCCAGGGAAAGACTGTCTGCTAGACAGGTTCTATGTCAAGGGGCAGCGCAGCCTAGCGGGGCAGGTACCGGACCTGGGTTCTGTTCCCAGGTCTGCCACGTGACCCGGAGCAGGTGGCTCTGCTCCTCGGCCTCTCTTTCCCCTCCCACCCCTTGCCGCTGCACAGTGAGTGACAGGCAGCGTCTGCAGCCGAACTAGGGGGCCCTGATCTCAGCTGGGTGCTACCCTACGTGAGCCAGACCATGGGGGTGTTCTTCTGATCCGTCCCCTCCACAAACAGCCACCAGCTCTCCCGACACCCAGAGCACCTCCACGCTGGGGTGGCACGTTTTTAGCTATGCAGCGGCTCGTGCTGGTGCTGTTACCAGCTGTGTGAGCTGCAGCCCAGCGTGACGCTTGAGCCACCGTCTACCTTGCTCAGAGCAGGGGTTAGACACCGGAACCACCCTACCCCAGCATTCCTGCCTCTTGCACCTGGGCACTGAAAGGCTCTTTCACGTTTCCCCCCAGCACAGACCGGACCGGAGAGCCGCAGGGGACGGGAGTTTGTAACCAGATTCCCAAGTTATAGCCCTTCGGCGTGGTCAGTTCCGGCTCCGTAGCGCCCGATTCCCAGCCCGGAACCGCAGCCTCACCTTGGGCATCACCTTGGCCATCACGTAGATGAGGATCAGCAGCGAGGCCAGCATCCCGATGCTTATCCCAGCGGAGTAGTGGAAGAGCTGACTCCTGCGGAGATCACGCAGGGCGGGTGAGCTCGAGAGACGTCCGCCCGCCCGCACGGACACAGCGCGAACAGAGCTTCAGGCCGACACCCCCCGGCCAGCAGGACGCCAACGCGCCGGCCGCCTCGGGATCGTTAAAAGGGAGCCCAGGTGGCGTTCGCTGTGCCTTGGTAAGAGGGGCCTGGACAAAGCCAAGCTCCAGGGAGCGACAGGCCTGAGCCAGTGGTGGGAGATCTCCCTGATTTAACTGCTGGGACACCAGGCCACAGCCTGCGAGCTGGTAGGCGGCCACCCAGCTGTGGATGTTAGCAGCCCTTGGTTTACATAGCTATTGAGGGACAGGGGCAAGGCTGGGGCGGGCACCGCTCCGAGATGCCCTGCTGCACCTGGGCACAGCAGCGCAAGTCAACAGCAGCATCCCTGAGGTCGCGTTTCCGCCGTGTGGCCCAGACCATTAACACAGAGATGGGGGGGGGGGGGGGTCGAGCGCACAGGACGGCAGTGGTCTGGTCTTCCAGCACGGGGCGACTCACCTGCTCAGTAAATCCCCGGAGAAAAACAGGAGCAGGCCCAGGAAGGAAACCAGGCAGAGCTTGGGGTCAAACCCTAAAAGAGACCAGACGGTATCAGAGAAGCCCCCAACCTGGTTACTTGGTGCTGAGCCCACGTGACAACATGGCCCGGGCCCAGCAGTCCGCGGGGAGCGGCTGGGACATACCCAGCACGACGGACAGAGGCAGACCCCCGAGCTGGATATGCCTGGACGTGGGGCAAATGGATCCTGTCTCCGTATAAATGGCCCCAAGGCCCAGACGCTGCTATAAACCCGGTGAATCTCAGACCAAGGAGTCTAACACGGCGTTGCTGTGGATGGCACCAAAGTGCCCTGGGGCTGGAGGAAACGGATGGATGCACCCCGCTTCTCTTCCAGAGGGGTATACAGCCCATGTTGGGTGAGTGCTTCTCTCCCCCCTCCCCGCCCCCCAAGCAAAGAAGGAACCTTAGACCTCGGGCTAACATGTGCTGTAACGTCCTCTAACAGATACCTGGTACCGCCAGGAGCCCGTTCTAGGCCCGAAGCAGCTGGACCAAGCTCCCAGCAGAGTTGGGTGCCACCACCTGTCCTCACCACCTTCTCCTCAGATCTCCTCCGTTTCCCCCATCAGCCCAAAGGGCAGTTTCAAGGGGCTCACCCCGAGACCCCCATGGGAGACTAGCTGGGTTCTTCTAAACGATGTGGCATCCAGCAAAGCCCAGGCGGGCAGTAGCCAGGCAACCTAACCCCGCACTGCTGGATGGAGCAGGCGTAGCACATCCTGAGTGAAGCCACAGGAGGCCCACGAAGCCCCGAGGGGGCAGCCCGACCCCCAGGATGGCTTACACCGGAGGAGGACGACGCTGTAGTTGGTGTTTGACTCCGGCAACTCTACTTTCAGGCAGGTTTTCTCGCTGTAGAGATCCACGGGGATGTAGGTGTCGTTCAGCTTCTCTTTGAAGAAGGAGAAGACGAAGTTCCACATGTTGAATTCCTCCAGCTCTCTCAGCTTCTCCTCGTTTTCTACCTGGGTGACACGGATCATCTTGTTGCTGACGACTCGGATCTGCAGACGGGAGAGGAGAGGGACTCGCACACCCACGCTGCACCGCAGGGGTGGACACAACGGGGTCTTCCACTAAGCCAGCGCGCGATGGAGACAAAACTAGATGGGGGGATCAGAGCTGTGAAGCTAACGGCTAAATATTTATTGCTTAGCACTTTGTGAAGGGCTTCACATACGGCAGCTCGCAGTCCATGGGGCAGGTTCGTTCCCTTCCCTGATCTGTGGTCTCAGGACAACGAACTCACTGCTAATCTGGTGGGAGTGCCAGAAGAGGGGGTCTCGGAAACGCTATTAGAGATACAGGGTAACATTTCCAAACTCACCAAAGTGACAATCAACAGTTCACTTAGATGAGTTTGGAAGTGTACCTACAGCTAGTTTACCGAAGCAGTTCGACCAGCGGCTCTCAACCTTTCCGGACGACTGTCCCCCTTTCAGGAGTGGGATCTGTCTTGTGCACCCCAAGTTCCACCTGACTTCAAAACGACTTGCTTACAAACTCAGACATAAAAAGACAAGTGTGACACAGCCACAGTGTTAGTGAAAAACTGCTTTCTTTCTCATTTTCACCATGTACACCTCTATCCAGATAGAACGCTGTCCTCGGGAGCCAAAAAATCTTACCGCGTTATAGGTGAAACCGCGTTTATCGAACTTGCTTTGATCTGCTGGAGTGCGCATGCCCCCCACCTCCCCCGAGCGCTGCTTTACCGCGTTATATCCGAATTAGTGTTATATCGGGGTAGAGGTGTAATTACAAAATCAATCAATTGGAATATAGATATTGTACTGACAATTCAGCGTACAGTAAACAGAGCAGTATAATCATGTCATTGCACGGACGAAATTTTGGTTTGTACTGACTTTGCTAGTGCTTTTTAGGAGCCTGTTGTAAAAGGAGGCAAATCTCTAGACCAGGTGCCGTACCCCTTGGAAGAGGTCTGCGTACGCCCAGGAGTACACGTACCCCTGGTTGAGAACCACTGAGTTAGAAAAACCACTGGCCAAAGAGTCAAGCCAGTGTGTAGGTCCGTGCAAGGGCTCAGAGAAATACAGCTGCTTCTCACTCTGCAGAGAAAACGTACGTCGCAGTTGCCAGGAACTGACTTCTCAAGAAGTATATCCACATCCTGCATCTGGATGCCTACAATCACCTTCACGTCTAAGCTGCAGACTCGCTCTCAATGCCTCTTTTTCTCATCAGCAAGAAACCTGGCCATGAGCATCTAGAAATGTGAGTTACGAAAGAGCTGGTCTCAGTTAGAGACATTTTCAGGGGACTAGCTGAAGGATGAGGGAGGATTTCAAGGCACAGGACCAGCAGCGAGAAAGTCTAGCGTGTTCCTACCTTTGCCGCTTGCTTCCTGCATGCACTTGCAAGTCACTTCCCCTCCCCTTGCCTCAGTTTCCCCATCTGTAACTGGGGGGTAATGCTCCCAGCCGGGGTCTGAACTGAAGCATTCTTGTTAAAATTGCTGAGTCTCTCAGACAGAAGGCGCTTAAGCGCTGATTGTACAAACTTCCCTCAATGGGCTTGTTTTATTCATTCCCTGACCCGCTCGCCAGGCAGTTTCGCCTTTGATAGCTTTATGGAATAAATTACAAACCCACGGTTCTCTGATGCGATTCCTTCCCCCCACCTCCGGCCGGAAGAGGCTGATGTGAAGAACAGCGCCACGGATCTCAGACCAAGAAACCGTGACATGAAGCGTCCTGACAGACACTTGCCACTTCTGCAAACGTTAGACGCAGCCTCAGGGCAGCCGCTGTGAGAAACTAGGATAGCGTCTGCCCGCTGTGGCGGGGGAGATCAGGGTGACAAGAGGTGTCAGGGGGAGGAACCGCCCTGCATTGATGTCTGACGAAGCCTCGGGTATGAACGCCAACCCTTTGAGAGCCCCCCCCATGCCAGCCGCCAACCAGCAGTTCCTCTCGTTTTCCCTACCCTGAGTCGTCCCCGGGGCTCCTTTGCACCTACACTACTTTGCACCTACGTCTGACGCTGGTGGAAACAGGTGCCTTACTGACAGCAGTGTCCCCTTTAGCCAGCGACTCGGCGAGCTTCCCCACCAGAAAACACTCGCCCGCAGCAGGCGTGCTCCCTGGTTTCCAGCTGACACCCAGAGAGCTTAAGTGACTTGCTCAAGGCCACACGAGTGAGCGGCAGGGCCGGGGGGAAGAGAACCTTGAACTCCTGACGCTCAGTCCATTGTTCTAACCACTACACAACACTTCCTCCCAACGCTGGGAATAGAACCCAGGAGTCCTGCAACCAAGCCTGCTGGCTCTGACCGCTACAATGCCTTCCTAGGACAACTGTGGTCGTCCTTTGGCCTTACTGTGCTCCCACCTGCCTGTACAGCCCCTACCACATTCTGGCTGCTAACCTCACATAAACCACAGGACGAGAAGGGCAAGGCACAAAGGCTAGGAACACAGCTGGGACTGGCCCAGCAGCAGGACCATTCAGACACAGGGAGGGGTCCAAGCAAGAAATTTCTATCCCAGGGACCTGCCCTTACCTTGTTGCTACCGCGCACGCCCCAAGGAGAGGAGATAAAGAGACAAGGGGGTTTGGTCTAGGGTGACCAGACTGCAAGTGTAAAAAAATCGGGACAGGAGGTGGGGAGTAATAGGCGACTATATAAGAAAAAGCCCCAAATATCGGGACTGTCCCTATAAAATCGGGACATCTGGTCACCCTAGTTTGGTCTGAGAGGTTCTTTCGCTGGTTCAAGAAAACCCAACAAAGCCTCTTTCATTCGGACTCTCGGCTTGAATGCAAATGATGGGGGCGGGGCGGCAGTGAGACGCAGACCTGGCTTTGCGGCAGCAGGCAAAGCGGGCGCCGGTTCCTACCTGCATCCGGGTCCAGATGTCGTGCCATTTCGGGGTCTCCGCGTTGGTGTAGCAGAACTTCTGCGGGGCCGTCGCACTGCGCACCCGCCCTTCTTCAAGTCGGATCACCAGCTGCTTGGCACCTTCATTAGACAGGGGAGAGGGACAAGAAAGGATTTAGTAACAAACCAGACCCGATGCATCTATTCCCATCTGTGTCTGGAAGCGAGCCCCACACGGGCTGCGAGGCAAGTCTGTCCTGTGTCCGGCACCAAGACACGGGGGGAAAGTTCTTTCATTTCGTTTAAAAAAACTGGGTGTTTGTTTTGATAATCAATTCAATCAATTTCACGGGGCCCCTGCCCCAACCTTCGGTGCACCCTGACGAGGGAAGCTGGAGGTTTTGGCATTGATAACGGGTGGCCCCTGGGGAAGAGGTCTGAGATCAGGAGACGGGCACTTAAGCTGGGTGTTTGGGCTCAAAGTTCCTGAGCTACCGTTTCCGGCTGCCTGCAGACTCAGGAAGCCATCCCAGCAGCACTTCACACTCAGCTCATGTTGCTACAGGTTTTCTTCACACTCACCGGGGACAGAAACAACCGTGGGTGGCTTGTTTTTAAGGGGAGACTTTGAACCTAGAGAACATTCCCGCAAGCAACAGGTGGATGCCACGGCAGCCCCAGGACTCACGGGACTCTGGCAACGAGTCTGTTTAAACCTTTCCCCCGACACTAGGGATCAGGCACTCGGTCATACCACCAGCACCAAACAAGCTGCCCTGGGAAGGCCGAGGTCAAGGGAAACACCAGGCAGGGACTTCCTAAAACATGAGCTTGATTCCACTGACTTCTATGCAATTTCTCCTGATTTACCCCAACCCGACAGGAGGATCAGGGCCAATGCACATCCCACATAGACCTCATAAGAACGGCCATACTGGGCCAGATCCGTGGTCCACTTAGCCCTGTATCCTGCCTCCCAGGGGCCATCTGAACAGGGTTGGGATTTGGCAGTAACCCCACATTTTCCCCCAGTAGCTCTGAGCCTGGTGTTCTTTGGCCCTCCACTTGTGTGGGAAGCAGCTCTGCGAGACGCAGCCCTGGGGGAATTTATTCAGCAACCACATTGGTGAGAAATTCACAGAGTTTAAGGTCAGAAGGGACCAATGGGGCATCTCTTGCCTAACACAAGCCCTAACCTCCCCATATTAGTTCCTGCTTCAGGTCCAATGTCTGTGGCTGAAGGAGAACGTGGGGCGGAGGGGGGAATCCCCCATTTACGCCAGTACTGAGTCCTATAACTTGTGAGGTGAACTAAGGACCATTTTCACTCAGCTGGGGGAAGGAAACACTCGTCAACTTCAGCTTCGCTCCTGGATCAAGGCCAGATTTAGCTTTACAGTCAACGACAGCCTTAGACCATGCCTCAGTTTACCCTCTCTGTCATAATACAGCACCACTATAGGCAGAGGATGGCGGTAGAAAGGGGAAGCCTACTGGAGTTCTGATCAACGAAGAGGGCGGCCATTATTTTGGTCACTATTCGTAGCTTTGGTCACTTTAAAGATATTCCATTGAACTCCTCCCATTTTATAACCGGCTCGGCATCTGTAAGTGCCTTTGCAAGGAGATAGTCCTCTCCTCTAGCCTTCTTAGGAGAAAGCCTGGGGTTTGGCTTTTCGCGATGCATGCATGTGTTGTGGAGAGGCTCCCGAGAGTCTATTCTCAACAGGCGCACGTATCTCCCACGGAGATGGCTCAGGCGTATAGATTCACTGCAGAGAGTGGGTGTTTGAGTAATGCTGTGTGACTTTAAACTATTTACCAACGTGCTCAAGTTCATAGAAGAGTGTTATTCCCCATGAGGGGAGACATTAGACGGAGTAAAAAAGAAACATTACGCTACCTCCAACTTTAGTAGGGAAAGAACGTGACTTACATTAAAAATCGCTGTGCTACAGTCGCTAAGTTGTGTGACCAGACAGCGTGTGCTGCTCACAAGGATTAGTGGGTATTTGTTAACCCTTTGTGCTAGGTATAGCTCTGTTCACACTGAACAAGGCACCTTTCACACAGCCCAATTTTTAGCAGAGGAACAGTACGGGCCTAGCCGGAGGGCAGTCACAATAGTACATTCCTAGGGGTTAATAACAATACCACGCTCGTCTAGAATACTTTACATCCATAGATCTCAAAGCACTTTTCAAAAGAGGCAAGTCTCACCCCCCTTTTATAGATGGGGAAACTGAGGCACAGAGCAGGGCCGTGACTTGCCCGAGGTCACCCAGAAGGCCAGGTCTCCGAGGCCCAGTCAATGCCCTACCCACTATTTCACACTGTCTCCTGAGCAACATTTTTGGCGTTTCCAATCAGATACCCTACGCCCGGGGTGGCCAACCTGTGGCTCCGGAGCCACATGCGGCTCTTCAGACGTTAATACGCGGCTGCTTGTATAGGCGCCGACTCTGGGGCTGGAGCTACAGGCGCCAACTTTCCAATGTGCCAGGGGGGTGCTCACTGCTCAATCCCTGGCCCTGCCCCCACTCCACCCCTTCCCGACCCCTCCCCTGAGCCTGCCGTGCCCTCGCTCCGCTCCCCCGGAGCCTCCTGCACCCCACGAAACAGCTGATCAGGAGGTGCAGGCGCTGATCGGCAGGGCTGCCGGTGGGTGGGAGGCGCTGGGGGCTGGAGCAGGGGAGCTGCTGACGTATTACGTCCATTGGTAAATTCGGGCTCCTTCTCAGGCTCAGGGTGGCCAGCCCTGCCCTAGGCCCTTCTCCACCAAGGCAGACAGACTGGCGAGCCTGCTAACCCCAGGACAGAACTCACTGCCATTCAATCCACGCTGTGTTCCCCAGGGAAACTGACAGTCACACGAATGGAAACACACACTCCCACGGAAGCTAACAGCACCTTCGGCGCGTCCTCAGGCACTGAGAGGTGCAAACGTAGCCACGAAGTGAGATTCTCACAAGAAGGAATCGGCACTCTGGTTATAACTCACAGTTCAAAGAGCGCAGCCCAGAAGCAGAGATTTCCATGCACAAATTAACACGCTTTTGAGCTACTCCCCGCCCCCCCACACCGTCCCAAATGTATCGGTTAACACAAAACACAATCGATTTAACTTTTCCTTTCCCCCAGCTTTGAAGTGGGAATTTTCTGGAGTCTTCTAAACAGGATCAAAAGACTTGGCTTGTTTTCCTGTCGCTTCGGCTTCCTCCCTGAAATGCTGGTTTGGCCTTTATGCTAAGCCAGGGGTGCTCAGACTTTTGTACTGGTGACCCCCCCTTTCACATAGCAAGCCACTGAGTGTGACCCCCCCCCATACATTAAAAACATATTTAACACTATTATAAATGTTGGAGGCAAAGCGGGGTTTGGGATGGAGGCTGGCAGCTTGTGATCCCCTCAGGGGTCCCAACCCCCAGTTTGAGAACCCCTGTGCTAAGCCATACAGGAAATTCCTACGTCCGGTGTAGGAAGCACAAACAGAAAAACATCCTCCTCCGCAAGTAGTTTTGCCACCTCTGACACTTCCACGAGGCGGGTGCCTCGAGGGCCTAAGGTTGAGGCCCCATTTTATAGCGGCCGAACCGGGGCATCGAAAGATCAAGTGACTTAAGAGGAAGTCTGGGGCAGAGCCGGGAGCTGAACCCACCAGCCCATGCTTCTTCCAAACTCTGCCCACCCTGCGCAGAGACGAATCAGTCAGTTCGTATGGAGAGGGGACGCAGCCAGCTAGACAGGATTATCGGATACTTGCATAATGGTGGCACCCCAAGGGGACCTGGTCGGGATTATGGTTTGATTGCACCCATGTGGGGAGGCCCCCTGCCGCCTCACCAGTGCCAACATGGCCCCCATCCTCTGCCAACATCCTCTTCTACCCTGCGTCATTCCCATCCCCCGAGTCCCTGCAATGAGGAGCTCACAAGAGTCACTTGGAATTGAGGCATTTGAAAAGGTGCATCATAAGGCACTTTAGGAGATTCCCCAGACTGTGCTGTGATCCTGCCAGCACCCCACCCAGCCCCAGGCCGCCCCCCAGCACCCTCGTGCCCTGTCTCAACCCTCAACCCTACACCGCCTGCCCTGCCAACCTCCCACCCCAACTCCCTGGGGGTTC